ATTATGGTCATTACCCTAAGTCCACCTTTTTCTCTTGAGTCCAAAAAGCACAGTAAAATTACCTGACATAGAAAGACAGCCTAAAGTTTCACATATAAAAGTACAACCATAATCTCTTTAGAGGAAAAAAATATATTTTCATCCTTGGAATAGGAAACAAGATTTCCTAAACTAGATAAAGAGCTAAATATAAATGTCAAGTTAGCATATTTTAAAAATCGTGAAATTCTGTTCCTCAAAAGGACTATTAAGAGAATAAAAAGGCAACCCTAAAAATAGGAGGAATATGTACAATATCAATATATGATAAGGGAGAAAAATGGGACTGTCTATTCCTGTAAAGAGCTACAGTCTCAGGAACTCACAGGGGCAACTGTTCTACCCTGTCCTGTAACATCGCTGGGAGTTGGCATAAACTCAGTGGCAGTGATTTTTTTTTTTTTATTACACACAATAAAAAGAACCCCAGTAGCAAATGAGTAAGTGCTTGGCTAGTAATCGAAAAGTCAGTGTTTTGAACCCACAGAAGGATCTTGGGAGAAAAGGCCAGAAGGTCTGCTTCCCTTCAAGATTTCAACCTAGGAAACCCTAGAGGACACATAACACAACAATACATACAATAACAGACATATAGTACGAACTTTAAAAAAATTGTGAATAACTAAGAAAAAGACAAGTTTATAAAAGAAGTAGAAAAGCACTTCACACAAAAAATTCAAATATCCCATAAATGTATGAAAAAGAAAGAGGTCAATTTCATTAATCATCAAGTAACTATAAATGAAAAGTTTATGATTTATTTCTTTACATGCACCATAACTCAAAAAAGGAAAACATGTGAGGAGGGGAAGAATCAAGTATCACGTCTTGGTGAAAACATGGAACAACTAGAACTCTCATAGACTACTAAATATAAACTAGTAAAACCATGTTAGAAAACTGCTTGCTAGTATCAATTAAAACTGGACATATTTATGATTCTGGAGCTTCCAAACTAAGCCTGGCAATCTACTTCTGAAAAAAAGTCATGAAGACTGTATGGATCACAGTAAAGCACTGATTGATACAAGGCTAGTCCACCAGTTTGCACATACATAAGTTTATTACAAATGAAATGTATTTAACATGCTTTGTGATCAGTGATGACTGCAGACAGATTCTCTCAGTAAGATGTGCGTCTTATTTGCGTTGGGGTGCCTTGAAAGGAGCTTTGTAACACTTGCTCGAGCAGGGCAGCGGCAAAGGGAACATAAGAGAGGCATGCCTGCTGACATGGCTGGAAAACTCACTGCATGCCAAGGAACCATATCGTTAACATTTCTGATCTGACTTCTAACCTAACCCTAACCATAATCATGAAGAAAAATGAAACAGTGGTTCTGGTGGGCCTGTTAAATTCAAGGCAGAGCTGTCTAGTCAGAAAGTTATAGTGACTATTTTGGGAGATTCCAAGGGGTTCGATCAAGACATTTTCTTGAAGGACACAATCGTTTATCAGGAAGAAATTTTTTTTAAATTGAAAACCGCAATGATGAGACAGGATATAAAAATTGTGTCACACTTTTCCCATTTGCTTACTTTTCAAGGGTAGCAAGGGCTACTTTAAGAGAATTATGTTGGAAAACCTTATCTCATCCACCCTACAGCATTGATTGTGCCTCTTCAGACCTCTTTTTGTTCCCAAACCTCTAGAAACACTTAAAAGGAACACCATTTGAGTCGCTCCAGGGTAACCCAAATTGCTGTTTCAATGTGGTATAAATCAAAGAGCACAGAATTTTATAAGGGTTAGACTTAGATGGAGGCTATATCAAGAAGAAATTGCTCCATATTTTGCTATTTTTGTTTAATTAAGGTTTCTATTATTTTATAGCAATACTTTGTGACTTATCCTCATACATATCCATGACAGGCAAACAGACACACACACATACGGAAGTCTCAAAAAGTTCATGGAAAAATTTCACTATTTTTCATTCCATTTTTCTACACATTTTTCAAAGTCCTCTCATATATAAAAAGAGAAAAACAGAGTTTTTTTTAAGAATACCTATCGAAAAAACAAACAAAAAGAGTACCTATTGAATAATCCATTTTTAATTCCATTGCTGAGAAACGTTCCTGACCCCTTTAGCAGCATCAGCCACCGACGCATTATCTCATGCTTCTCCCAGTCTACAGTGCTGTTATTTTCAGAGACAGCTGGTCTTGTTAGGGGTAGTTACTACTGTTATGAAAACAAAGTTTCTAAGACTCTTAGGTTTGGAAATTTGCCTTTATGTGGAAAACTAAAGCAGTACAGATACTAAGACAATTTAAAACACTGTCATTTTCTCTCCTTTAAATTTCAGAAGACTTCTCTTTTCAATCAAAAATGTTTACTACCTAATATAAAGGACATCATGCTTGGTACACTGGAGGGTCGGCAAAAAAGAGGAAGACCCACAACGAGATGGATTGACAGAGTGGGTGCACGGGGCAGTGGTTTGTTTTGTTTTGTTTTGTTTTATATATAGGGTTGCTGAGTGAGAACTGACCCAATGACACATAACAACAGCAGCAGCCCTGCAGCTAAAGAAAATATAATTTATTACTTAGTATCCATATCATGCATATTAAATAAAATCCCAAGATAATCTGATTAATATGCTAAATTAGTCATCTCTCATCATCTTCCAATTATTTACAACCTGGAATCAGTACATACTTTACAACCCCTTTCATATATAAAAATGCCTTAAAATTGCACAATATGCAAATTTTATCTCAAACTATATTTTAAAGATGCCTTAAAAAATCAACTAACAAAGAAAATCTAAATATTAAAGAATTTACCTATCCAGCAGTTAGCAAGTTTTAGTACATGCTTTCTTAGGCTTTGGTCATAAAGGAGCAAAGATAGCTAATGTTACAATAAATAGGGCAGGTGCAACGCTTTTCTCATTAGATTTACAAATAATATGATTTTAAACTAGCAACACACTAATTCAAAATAGTTTTTAAATGGTATGCAGTAAAGACCCCTTTCCCATCCACCTAATTCTTCTCCCTGCCTCTGCAAAGGAAACCACTTTTTTGTGTTTCATTCTAGGCTTTATGTAAACACAAGGAAATGCAGATGTACATTTCAGTTCCCCTTCCCTTTTTCCACAAAAACTTGCTAGCTAAAAAAAAAAACAAAGCAAAACAAAAAAAACTTGCTAGCTATACATTGTCTTAATTTTAAAAAAATGTGTGTGTACTTATTATTGTCTCTGCATGTCTATCTAGGTAAGATAGGTAGGATAAACAATCAAGAGGTGGAAACAATGGGACCAACGTTCCAGGGAGACACGGGAGAGGGGAAAGAAAGGAAGAGGGGTGCCAACAAACTCAGGGACAAAGGAACAACAAGTGATGTAAAATCGATGGCAAAGACGGCGTAGGATGCCTGATGTGGCTTGATCGGGGCAGTGTAGCCAAGAGGAATTACTGAAACGTGAATGAAGGCTGAACATGATAATGGGATAAGAGGAAAGTAAAAGGAAATAGAGGAAAGAACTAGGAGGCAAAAGTCATTTATAGAGGTCTAAATGCAGGCATGTACTTACATAAATATATTTATATATGATGATGGGAAAATAGATCTATGTACATATATTTATATGTTAAGTATTAAGATAGCAGATGGGCATTAGGCCTCTACTCAAGTACCCCCTCAACACAAGAATACTTTGTTCTAATAATCCAGCATTCTGTGATGCTCACCTTTCCTGACATAATCGCTGAAGACAAAATGGGTGCATAAGCAAATGTGGTGAAGAAAACTGATGGTGCCTGGCTATCAAAAGATATAGCGTCGGTGATCTTAAAGGCTTGAAGATTAAAAAGTGGCCATCTAGCTGAGAAGCAACAAATCCTACACAAAAGAAGCACACCAGCCTATGTGATCATGAGGTATTGATGAAATCTGGTATCAGGCATCAAAGGCCAAGAACAAAAAAATCATATCGATGTGAATGAGGGGGAGTGCGGAGTGGAGACTCAAAACCCATCTGTAGACAGTTGGACATTCCCTTACAGAAGGGTCACAAGAGATGAGCCGGGCCAGTGAGGGTGCAGTATAGCACCGATGAAACATACAACTTTCCTCTAGTTCTTTAATGCTCCTCTCCACCACCCACCCCCCCACCACCCTTACTATCATGACCCCAATTCTACCTTACAAGTCTGGCTAGACCAGAGCATTTACACTGGCACAGATAAAAGCTCACAGCACAGGGAATCCAGGACAGATAGACCCCTCAGGGCTAATAATGAGAGTAGCAATACCAGGCGGATAAGAAGAAGGTGGGGTAGAAAGGGGGAACCGATCACAAGGATCTACATATAACCCCCTCCCGGGGGATGGACAACAAAAAAGTGGGTGAAGGGGGGCAGCAGTCAGTGTAAGACATGAGAAAAAAATTTATAAATTATCAAGGGTTCATGAGGAAGGGACAGTGGGTGGTGGAAAATGAGCTGATACCAAGGGCTCAAGTAGGAAGAAAATGTTTTGAAAATGATGATGGCAACATATGTATAAATGTGCTTGACACTATGGATAGATGTATGGATTGTGATAAGAGCTGTAAGAGCCCCCAATAAAATGATTTAAAAGTATATATCATCACTTAGGAAATGCTAAAAGGTGTACTACCTATAATCATCTTCAATATAGGTTTATCATAACTTTTAGATAGCTATGAAATTTAAAATAATTTTCTAAATTAGCACTTTCATCACTTCCAGGCACCAACATGATGGCAAAGGCATAGTACCACTACAACAATGCTCTCGCTATGAATGGCGCTGAGGGTTTCCTTCCACAGGAGTCCAGCTTACTGGTTATTTGACCATCTATTAAGTGCCAACTTTAAAAAAGTACACAGTGTCCAGCAGGGAGCAGTATTATAACATTCATAAAACTTGACTTGAACATGAAACTGACAAGAAAAAAACAGATGAAATATCTCACTTACCACAGGTCTTTTCTACAGAACATTCACTTTTGAAGGTAGTTGCAAGGCCTCCAGAAAAAACATCTAAAGCATATCTCAAAACATATGTGGTGGATTCATGGTTTCAGGAAACCTAAAGCAAGAAATCAAAATTGTATTATGTGAAGTCTTCTCTCACTCATGCTGAGTTGAATTAGTATATAAAATAGCTAAATGCCTTAGTTATTAAAGGTCACAATTTAGTTGTTAAAGTACCTTCCTCTCAGTGGACCAATGGGATGTCAAGATATTCAGAATTTCAATGATACTATGAATAAATTTTAAAACCCTAGAATATTAAGGCCTTTAGTCACGAGAGAAGTTAATTAGAAGAGGAAATTAACTGAGTGACCTGAAGATACCAATCAATCTAGAGAAAACTGTCAATAAATTGAAGCAGTAGTTGACAAATCAGTCATAAACAGACAAAATATCTACAACAAATATAATTAGTAGGCAACATTGAAGATGTAACTCATTCACTTTACAGGTCAGAATTAATATATAAGGTTAATTATGAGAATAAAAAAGCACCAAATAAGTAGTTTATAATGCTTGCAAACTGATGAGCCAGATAGCTAGTGAATTTGAAGTACATACATGGTATTAGAGAAAATCCTGAAACCAGTTATAATACAAAACATGATATAACAAATATATTTAATACTACCTCAGATGTCAAAATTGGCCTCATATTTAAATAAATCAATATGAGGAAAAAATGTTTTATCTAAATTTATCCTTTTTTAAAAAAAATTAAATTTTGTGTGTATTTGCATGCAACACTTCAAGGACTACAATAAGAATCAAATGTCTGTTATTAAAAGAAAATATAGCTATGCACGTATGTGAATATATTATTCATAAAAATAGAGTTATTGGCATAGGTATATATATTTATATGCCAATACATTGAGGAAGTGGACAGACTTTAGGCCTCTGCTCAAGTCCTCCCTCAACACAAGAACACTCTGTTCTAACAACCTGACATTTTGTGATGTTCACCCTCTGGGCACAATCAATTAAGACAAAGTGGGTGCACAAGCAAATGTGGTGAAGAAAGCTGACGGTGCCTGGCTTTCAAAAGATACAGGGTCTGGGGTCTTAAAGGTTTGAAGTTAAACAAGTGGCCATCTAGCAGAGAAGCAACAATTCCACGTAGAAGAAGCACACCAGCCTATACAATCACGAAGCGTCCACAGAATCAGGTAACAGACATCAGAAGCCCCAAAACAAACAAACTAACAGAAAACCATAGTGTTGGGAATGAGGGGGGGGGCGGGGGGGGGTTGGAGCAGAGACCCAAAACCCATCTGTAGACAATGGGCCACCCCCTCACAGAAGAGTCAAAAGGAAGGGATCAGGCAACCAGGGTGAAGTATAGCAACCAGGGTGAAGTATTCCTAGGGTTCCATGAGGCTTCCTCATCCCCCACTATCATAGGCCCAATCCTGCCTTTCACTGCAAGCTAGGCTGGAACACATACAATGGGACAGATAAGAGCTCAGGACACACGAAATCCAGGTCACATAAACCTCTCAGGATCATAAATGGGAGTAGCACTACCAGGAAGTTAAGGGGAACATGAGGAGAGGAGGGAAGAAAGGAACCACAGGGAAAGGGAGACTGAGGTAGGTGTAATACATAAAAATAATAATTTATAGTTTACCAATGGGTCACGAGGGTAGTGGGGGAAAAGGAGGGAGGGTAAAAATAGGAGCTGATTCCAAGGGCTCAAATAGAATATAAATGTTTAGAAAATAAGGATGGCAACATATGCACACATATACTTGATAGAATTGATGTATGGATTGTTCTAAGAGCTATAAAAGCCCCCAATAAAATGATCTTAAAAAGAAAAAAAAAGCTTTGTATTTATTTGCATGCAACACTTCAGGGACTACAATAAACACCAAATGTCTGTTATTAAATATATATATATATATATATATATATATATATATACATATATATATATATCCTTAATCTTCAAATGTCTATTACATATTATATATGCAATATGTATTAAATTATTCATAATCAATGTAACTTAACAGTTTATAAATAATATACAAAATTATTCTATTTTCTTATGGCAAATTGAAAGAAAAAGTTGATATCCAGACTATGGTAGATCTATACTAATCATCATTAATTTCACTGAAGCTCAAAGAAATTCTCATATATCAATCTATCTTTGTGGGTTTTTTAAAGTCTTTTTCCTTATCTTTTTCTCTCCTTTTGTTTACTATTATATAACAAAATTATGCTTGGTCCTATGCAATCTTCATGATCATTACTATGTTGCATTCCATTGTGTGACTATTTTGTTCGTCCATCTCCCTGAGGGATGCTCTCAGTTTCATTGAACCTCCTCTTAATCAAACTCTTCTAGTGACTGGTCTTTCCTGATGATGTGTCTTGCTAGTTTGCTTCCGAGGTGAATTCTGGTTGTATTTGTTCCAAAACGAATTTGTCCTTCTGGTAGTCCACAGACCTACACCAAACCAAACTCACTGCCATCGAGTCAACGCCCACTCATAGCGACCATAGAGGGCAAAATAGAACTGCCTCTGTAAGTGCCCCAAACGGCAACTGCTTATGGGAGAAGATTGCAGCCCAATTTATAACCACTGCGCCACCAGCGCTCCAGTGTATTCAATACTCTTTTCCAACACTAAAACTCACATGTATCAATTCTTCTGTCTTCCCTTTCATTGTCCATCTTCTGATGGGCAAATGAAAATATTTCATCTTTGGAAAGGCACACCTTAGTCACAAAACTGTTATCTTTGCTTTTTAACATCTAATAGAGATCTTTTGCAGTGGATTTACTCAATGCAGTGTGTGTATCCCTTTGATTTTTGACTGCTGCTTCCATCAACAGATACTTGACCGGGCAGAATAAAATCGATGGCAACCTTTTTCTCTCCGTTGACCATGGCACTTTTATCACCCTTCTCGTTAAGATTTACATTTTATTCATGTTCTGACACAAATCACCTTGAAAGCTGTAAACTTACATTAAGTGATGCAATCCCTCCTCATTTTCAGCAACGTTGTTTCATCTTCATATTGCAGGTTATTGTGCCTTCCTCAGCTCCTGCTTTGTAGCCCATTTCTCAGACTTACTGAGCATACAGACTTAATAAGCATGGTGAAATGATACAATTATGATACACAATTTTGCTCTTTTTAAACCAAAATATTCCTTTGTTCTGTTTGAATGACTGCCTCTTGGTCTATATACAGGTTCCACATGAACACATTTAAGTGTTCCCATTGTTGTGTTATCCATAGTCTTTGATGATTCACACAATTGAATGCCTTTGAATAAGAAATAAATACAGATGAACATCTATTAGTCTCTGTTTGCAGACAAGATCCATCTGACATCAAGGATAGCCTCTATTCTATGTCCTCTTCTGAATCCCGCTTGAATTTCTGGCAGTTGCCCATTGATATACTGTTGAATCATTTTTTAAATAAGCAAAGTCTTACTTGCATTAAAGATAACTTTTAATAGTTTCTACATTCCAATGGGTCACCTTTCTTTGGAATGGGCACATAGATGGATCTCTCTGGGTCAAAGGCCAGGCAGCTACCTTACAAATGTCTCGGCATGGAAGACTGAGCATTTCTGATGTTGCATGTATTTGCTGAAACATCTTAAATGATAGTCTTACTAACTCTTGGAAGTTGTTCACTGCTACCTTCAGTGCAAAACGGACTTCTAACTCTTATCACCACTGGGTCATGATCAAATGAAACCTCCTGTTATGGCTGAATGTCTCCACATTTGTTTTGCTTTAGTTACTCTATATTCCTTCTATCTTCTTTTGATGCTTCCTGTGTCATTTGATTTTTTATACATAAAATATTTCAGTATTTCATCTTGTAGTTTTCTGCCTCAGTTCTTTCAGCTTAGAAAATGCCAAGCATAATCTTCCGTTCTGGTTTTCTAACTCCAGGTCTTTGAACCTACAAAAAGGCCTAGACTTCTTTCAGTCAGTTTGTTGTTGTGTATTGGGTGTTGCTATGATGCTAGTAGCTATGCCACCGGTATTTCAAATACAAGCAAAATCACCCATAGTCGACAAGCTTCAGTGGCGTTTCCAGACTAAGATAGACTGGGTAGAAGGAGATGACGTAAGACCTGCTAGTTCAAACCTTACTGGTAGCAGCAGAGCCGTGCTAGAAGATGAGCCCATCAGACAGGAAGACACTTAAAGTCCAAAGAGGGAAGAGCAGACTCCTCAAAGGAGTCAACCTTAATGACGGATGGAGTAAAGCTTTTTTATGTTTAGTTTGCTGACGGAGCACAATTCAAATAAGAAACCGCTGCAAATAACCATTAATAGCTAAAATGTGGACTATAGAAAGTACTAATTCAGGGAAGCTGGACACCTTTCTCACACAGAGCAGCTGGGGTTCTCAAGTGGCTGATCTTCCTGTTAGCAGCCCATCTCGTAAGCACTATACCACCAGGGCTCCAAATCCAGCTCACCTTGTTGTAGTCAAGTGAGTTTTATTTGGTGTGTGTGTATGTGCGTGTGTATGTGTGTGTGTGTGTGTGTGTATGGGGGGTGCTACACATGTCCTCTATGATTGATTTTTAGCTAAGTACTCATAACAAAGACTTAGTAAAGCCGAAATATTTAATATTTTTCTTTTAACAGAAAACATTACTAGCAGATGATCTAAATGTATGCTCTCCAATGTGATCATCGTTAACCAGAGAATTGTTTAAATATAAACTATTAAGATTAAATAGACCTTTAAAACTCAGCTTATTAATATCAGCTATATTGTAAATCTTTTGAAAAGCCTACCGTAACATACAGAAAATTTCCATCACTAAGAAATTTTACTGAATAGTTTTCATTTGAAAATGATCATAAAAGATTGGACTTTCATATAAAAAACACTAGAGTGACAAGCATTTCTACGAGAAACAAAAAAAAGAACATTCCAAAAAAGTAAAAAATAAATAAAATAAAGTTTAAAATGTGTGATACCAAAAAGAAAGTAATAAACCTATTCAACTCAAAAACCAAATCAATGCCATTGAGTCTATCCCATGGACTCATCATG